ATGAGAACAACTTTTGGCAAAACAAGGCTATTTGAAATGTAATGGAAACGTCAGCTCAACTCATATGATTGTGGGAAAATTGTTCTTCTACCTTAAACGAAATTGGGTGAATACATCTCATATTACAGATTTACTGGTAGAGACAAAAAACAATACTTAATTCGTTTAAGATGATAAAGGAATGGTGCTTGAATTTTGCCACAATCCGAGAATAGATCTTATATTCCCCTCCTTGAAGATAATATCTTTTATAGAAGCAGGGTTATGCAAAATTCAACGGAAACATCTACTTATCTGATTTGGAAAAAATTCAACTAAAATTTTTCTTGTCTACCCTAAATGAAACAGATTAAATACATATCATTTATTTGATTTAAGGGAAGTCTTGAAAATAAACTCAAAGCAAAATAAATAAATAAATATGATATTTATTGAAGCACTCAAAGACCGGAGATCCGGTCACGCCCAACTCACTGAAGGGGTAAGTAGTGAAGAACAATTCGTTCGAGTCTCCGACGCCGCCTCCCAGATCTTCCGAGTTGGGCTTGGTGACGCCGAACAGGTAAAGATGGTAGGTTGTAGCTGGAGTCAGAGGGCTTATTAACTGGCTGGTCGTCGAGGCATTGAATACGAGCGAAGTCGTGGAAGATATGGGATCCGGGAGCCCGGCTGAGTTCAACGTCACCGAGAAGTTGAGGATGTATTCGGACAACGTGCCCTTCGGCGCAAGCGGAGCCAACCAGGAAACCAGAGCCGATGTTGCGTTTATGTTGGAGTAGGCGAAGGCCAGCGGTCGCGACGGTTCTGCGGAGTTGAGGGAATCCGGTCAAAAGTGGGAAAAAAAGATGTCCGCTTTTTGGTAAGATTCTTTTGGAGGGCAGATCAGACGTGGAATTAACTGTCATGTGCCCAGGAGTTTTCCACACGCGATCTAAACAGCCTCTGCAGGCGCTTTGTCAAATGGCACGAAAAGTGTCTCCAACAGAAAAGCCAACACATGAACAAATTATTTTGTAGCAACCCGATCTGGAGAATGGGTCAACTTTCTCTCTAAAAGTGGGCATAACTCAGAGAAAGTGTCGTGGTTTCCCTAAATACCGTTTTTATTCCCCACTTCTTTACTTGTTTGCCTCTACTTTTGGAGAGAATGCAAAACAGAGAAGACAAAACATGAGAAAAGTCTCCTCATCTCTGCTTACATATTCACCAATCAAAAACCTATTCTTTATTAATCTAATGTTATTTTCAATCAAGCCAAAGGGATAGTTATTCTCAAGGAAAAAATTATTTTAAGCTGATTCAGTTCATTTTCACAATGGTCTCTATCGGCTAGTCTTATGCTCCGAATAATCATACATTTTAAAACCCCAACCTTTGTTTTGTAACTATGATTGGAGAAGAAGTTAACTATGAAGCCAGCATGCGTTGGCTTTCTACAG